ATTTTGAATTTAATGGCCTTTTTCTGTGGTGGGATAGTGCAGATTTTCAAGGAGAGGAATTTGGATGTATTTTTTGTACAAGTGTTTATTGCAGGATTTGCGGTACTGAATTGCTTGCCATTATATGAAGCCATGGTTTTGAGAAGTGACAAAGGAAGGATGCCCACAAGGACTACCATCATTTCTACTCTTCTTGTAGGAGGGCTTTGTGCAGCTTCCTCTTTTGTACTCAAGATGTGAGATATAACGGGGATTAGTACTTGACAACTTCATGTAAAACTATTTAATGTATTTTCCGACGTGTTTAGTATGTAGTATCAATACATGATTCAACGGTACTTTGAATAAAACATTTAGCTTCTCTTTATTTTCTTGATGTTATCTGTTTTTGTATAATTGAACTTACTAAACAAGCCTTTGGTGTTACATCTCATGTTCTACTTAACCATTAAGTTCCTATTTGGTTTAGCTAACAAAATTGATAAAAATTAAAGTCAAAATCAATAATTAATTTTAACATCATTTTCATGGGACCCACAATATTTATCAACTTTTAATCATACGTTTTATCAATTTTTATTAAAATTTACTAAAAATATTATTTTTAGCAACTGGGCTAAATCAGGTTCATGCTCGTGATTCACCAATTGATATAGTCATATAGCAGAAGCAATCTGATGAACGCGAGACGATAAATAAGAGACGAAGACAACGAACAAGCCTAAAAACATGTTGATTTGCAAAGAATACTTTGAATTTAGGAATGGAATATTCATTGATTCCCAATAAAGCATACGGAAATTTTTTATCTTAACCGTAAAATCGTGAATTCTAATGAATATTGATTTAGAATCGACCAAATAAAAGAAATTCAATATTGAGATAAAATTTATCGTTGATTTTTATTATAATCAAACAATTGAATCCTTTCATTAAGGCTTACAACCCTTATACAAAGCAAAATAAGGTTCACGACTAAAATCTATATAATAAAATAATCTAGATAATGAAAAAAATTAAAACCCCTCGTAACGAATTCAAAAATTTTTTTTTGCTAAAGAAATACTAATAAGATAATTAAAAACTTCTAATTGTATATAAAATATAAAATAATAATTTATTTTATGCACTTTTTTAAATATAGACATTTAAGAATACATTTAATAATTATTACTTAATCTCTTTTATATATTTTTAGTTAGGTAGCTGAATAATTAGAAGTGAATTTGGAAAAGAAAAAAAAAAAAGAACGAAAATGTATGAAAATGAGGATTTCCAAAGTTTAGGGACTAAATTGAAAATATTTAAAAGTTGATTCGGACCAAGAAATAATGCTTGAAGACTACACTGAATCAAATTGATATAATTGAAAGACGAAGGAGCATCATTTCATGGATAAAGGACTCGAGTTAAATGAAGGAAGAAATCTGGGAATCAAAATGAACAACCATGGAAGAAGTTACTCCATGTGATGCATGTTAGGAAAACGTGGGTCAAGTTTGGCTTGCAATGAAATATGGAATTGAGAAAATACGGCAAAAAATTGGACACAAATATTTACGTGGTTCACCCGATTTAGGTTACGTCCACGAGCAAGTATATGAGGATTTTACTATAGTAGGAGAAATACAATAATACTCTCTAAATACAAGGAGATAACAACAATTAATCTCTCTTGTAATATAGGAGAAAACAAGTAGGAAATAATAGGAGAAAACAATAATTTTTCTCTCTATAATTTTATCTCTCTACTCACAATATTTTCTCTCTAAATGGCTTGCTATATTTCTCTTCAGCTTTTGCCCATATTTATAGGCAAATATCACCGCATGAATTAATTGAAATTAGAAATTCAGTGCAATCAATTCCTACCAACTTCCACCAAGCCTGCACATTTTTTTTCTTCAACATTGAATGCCAATTTGGGTCAAACAAAGTGGCTTTACTTTCAACATTTTTCCCACTTAAAGTCACTTTTGTTGTACCACTTCCATCATTCCTATACTTATCATCTTCATGCTACTTACGTTTCTGTTAGGCCGATGGAGGATCGACACCATGTAAACTTGTCAGTACTGATTTGCTTTGTTAACATATCTGCTGGGTTGTCCTCTGTATGGATCTTCTGTATATCCACGCTTCCTTCTTCCACCTTTTCTCGAACAAAGTGATATTGAACTCGAATGTGCTTTGTTCTCTGATGAAATGCTGGATTCTTTGCCAAGTGCAAAGCGCTCTGACTATCACAAAATAGAGCAATCTTCTCTTGTTTGTGTCCGAGCTCTTCCATTAACATTTGTAACCAGATTGTCTCTTTGCTAGCTTGTGTAGCTGCTACGTATTCTGCCTCTGTCGTAGAAGTAGCCACGATAGACTGCAGTTTCGAAACCCAGCTTACAGCTCCTTCAGCAAGAGT